ATACTCCTCAAACTTGTTAACAATGACTAAATTCCAAAATTCCCCGCTCGAAATAGCCACATTGCATGTGCTCAATTAATGGTTAACTACGAAAATTTCCCAATAAATTTGAATTTTTATTGTATTTTCGTACGCATTAGAAATGTTGGACGAACGGTAACGGTATAATTAGAAAAGGACACGCAAAACAAGGATCATAGACAGAAAACGCACGCAACCCTAGCATGGAAATAGTTGCGCTAACGGATATTCTAGAGCCACGCACCTGCCATTAGCAGCTGGCTAATGGGAAAATTCAGTATTAATCGTAAGGAAAAACAGGTACAAATAGCCACTTACGGCATTGAACACGAACAGTTATTACCGTAAATGGATAGGCAAAGGATTCCTAAGCAAATTTGAGAAAGTCTCCAAGATATGACTACAAAAAGAAAAGACATTCTTTACAGTCACCACTTTTCAACGACAACAGCCCAAAAGTCACATAACTGTAAATTTAAAATGTGCAAGAAACCGCTAAATGTTGATGTAAATTCGAATAACGCAAAGGAACACACAAATAAAGATGCAAGTTGTAGGAAATACACAAAACTAACCAGAAGTGGAAGCGGCGGATTGTAGCGGTGTGGAGAAATAGCAAAAGGCCACGTGTCAACAATTTAGCCCCAAGGTAGTTCTATTTAGTCGCGAACAGTCGCGCGCTGTCCCGCCAAAAGGCAAAATTAATGTTTATRAGTATAAGTATGTATGTGTGTGTGCATGTGTGATTGCTAAGAGCGTGGAWAGAATGTCCACCGKCCTTCGGCTGTTTCTCAGCGCACGTCCGAAAATAGATCAATGCCCGCGGCAGGAAGGCGAAGGTAGTGGAGGTGASCGCACATATTTTCACRCATGCAAACKTAGTATATACATATGWACAAATATATATRTATTAYATAWATATACATACATATACATATATACCTMCATTTGTATGTCTGCCCGCCAGCTTGGGTTGCGATGGAGCTAAGTTTGTGCCTTAAGGCAACCGCCAACCAAATAAAAACACAAACATGACGCCGCCATTAGAAGGTGATGGGGTGGTGTAGGAGTGCACCAACCATGGTAAATAAACCAAAATCGATGACAGCCGCAAGGCAAGCGAGTAGCGACAAGCCACAATGAAGGTGCTRAGCAGTATTGTTGTCATTGTTGTCGACAAAGAAATATAAGAAAATAATGAAAATAAAATGCCGGAAGAGTGCCACACCGGTGGRTGGGGGTGGTGTATGGCGGCTTTTTGTGCCACATTTGCCTTTGTAAGGCGATGACTCATCGACAAAGCGCACCGCCATCCTCATCATTAGCTGCTGCTGYTGATGCAGCAATAACACCACCAAGCAAGAGCAACACATGCTGAGCAACAAAAATAATGCCACCACCAACACCAGCARTGAGCGCAGCACARAAGTGTTCGCATATGTACATATGTATGCAAGCGCTTAAGGCTACAGACGCGCTCATGGCAGCTGTTGTGACRAGCACAACAACTATAACAGCGCGCAATGGAATGAAAACAGTAGCAGTTGTGGCGTTGTTTGTTATTTTTGGATTTTTTAAGCAGTTAGTGCGTGTGTTGGYACTGTTGTGGCTTTACGCACACAGCAAAACACTTCCTACTCACTTGCCTGCTGGGAAGTTGMTAAAATCCACAAAATATTTTTCTGTGTTTATACTATAAGAGATTTCAGAAAATCCATTAATTAATTTGGGGATCGAAGATAKACTTTTGAATTTCGTATGACATTTTGTTGTATTTTGGCATACGTTTAGTAACTTAATAGTAAAATCTACTACAGAAAATGTCAAGGAGTAAGCCATAACTGCTTTTCATATGTGACAGCTGTCGAAAAATGGCTTCAGAAATTATAATTGATTTAAAAAATCGGAATTTTCAAAATCAATCCAAATTTTCGGCGTCTGTTTGTACAGTTTTATAAAATATTTTACATGCTTTCCACTCGCCGTTTGGTAGTTGAAGTTTCGTCAACTTTATTATGCATATTTTTCCTACAAGGYACATCTTCTGCTCACTTCAGTTCAGTGCGTGGCTGCTTTACTCATGACGAACGCATGTGCCCGCGAGTACAAAAGTGTGTACGTGACGTAAAACATTTCGTTGCAGGCACAAAAAGCAACAAATACTTACAACAAGTAGCACAAAAAACAACTAAAGAATACACAAATCGAAAAAAGTTGTAAAGCAAACACAAGCGCGTTGAAATAGAACAGCAACAACCCCTCAGATCGATTTTGTTGCGTGAGTGCGCTGGCACAGGAAGAAAACTGAGGATGACTAATCATTGAGAGCTCGATATAAACAAATAAACAGTAGCTAAAGAAAGTGCACTCCTGAACGCACAAGTGAGGAAAGGTGTAGAGAGCAGAATACCAATCCACGGCTTCATGAAGGGTACACAAATGCGAATGGGTGGAAGGTGGGTGGTACATGCATATCTAGGTAGACTAGATGTGTATAAGAGACAGGGGTACACAAATGCGAATGGGTGGAAGGTGGGTGGTACATGCATATCTAGGTAGATATACATATGTATGTCTGTATATGTTATAAGTAAACCGGAAGAGCGCTTGTGGTTACTGTTCATTGCGCAGCTAACGGGATGTCTCATAGCAGGCGCTTCGATTGCGATGCGTCATGCATCAGCCGTTGAAGGGCGRAAGAGCAACCACACGACAGCACAGGGCGCTACCTACCACGGTAAAATTGTCAGACAGCACGTCAGCACGTCAGCCAGMGGCAGAAGCAAATGCAATAATATTAATAACAACAACAGCAACAATGATATTACAGCAGCGCCAACGGTTGGCAAACACGCTTGCCGCCAAGAGTCACTAAATCAACAACACGCAACAAAACCGTTTTGAGCCAACTACTGACCACACTCTACCGTCTTTTTGGCTGCCTAAAGTCTCCTGCTACTTCGGCAATGCCGYAACAACAACAGYAAAYCATGCACAGCAATCCAGTCCCGGCCAACAGGGCTTTCACGTCAACTTCGTTGTAATCGTGTACACAACTTTTCCCAGGCATTCCCTCGCATTGTGTCGTTCGGGCTGTTGGCCTTTTTGCAACAACACCACCAACGACCGCAAATGCGCCTGCTGCAGTCTGGAGGGTCGCATGCCCGGCATACATACACGTACAAACAGCTACGTAACACTTGCTTATGTAAGTGTCACCAGGAGCCATACTGTCTGTGACGAATGGCGAAGCAAGACACGGCCGACTACAGCAATGCTAACGACAGGCGCTGCGCAGTCTACTCGCGTATATATGTATGTATGTGTGTGTGTGTGTGTGTTGGTTGCACGTTTGGACAGTCACTCAAATGGTAGACAGTAGTTGCGTTGTTAGCGCTGTGAATTTTATTGTCGTTTTATACAGGAGCGGCACACAGAAAACAATAACAATAACAATAGCAGCACYAACAACAAGATGAGACAGCAAGTTGCTTACATCGTAAAATTGAACGTTAATGTTGCTAATTAAATAAAATTGAAGACTTCGCCGCCATGACGACACGCTGACAGCTTTCGACTGCYTAGCAAAGTAAAAACGGCCACAAGTGCAAACTGCAACCAACGGGAGCTTTTGTCTGCTGCAGCCACGAGAGGATGCGAGAGGCAAGTCTAAAGTCAATATTATGAACAATAATTTTCACCGCTAAGCAAAAGGCATAAAATCGTGCAACAACAACAARCGCGTGTAACGGGGAACGCGAAAACACTCATGCATTATTGTTGAGGAAAATTTTCAATGCGGCGAAAACTGACGATTGACGTCAAGCAAGTATAAAAAGCAAACAACAAGCGAATGTAGTAATTTAAATTTAGCAAAGAAAATTCACTGTTGGCATTATTGGAACATATTTCCACTTAATCCCACGACTCGTAGCACAATGAGTAAGTGTACAAGGTTTTTTTCAGTTTTTTATTTTAAATTATTCTTGCAAATGTCAAAGGCGCGTGGTTAGTGACAAATCTCTTTAAGGCTGTGCAAATTTATAATTAAATAAAGGCATTAAAAAAGCATGTACACTAGCGAGTTAACTAAATGAGTAATGCGTGGCTGAGTGAAGGCGGGCATGTGTGCACTTGTGCTTAAAATACTAAGCAGAAGCAACATAATAATCTAAATATGCAAAATACTTATGAAAAAGAAGCACATAATTAATATTAATAAAATTAAAATCATAAAATAGAAAATTTTTTTTTCAAAAAAATTAATAATAATTCAAAAGCAAACACAAAAAATAAATANTTTTTCAAAAAAATTAATAATAATTCAAAAGCAAACACAAAAAATAAATATACACGACATAAATAGATATTTTAAGTATATATAATCTGTCTCTTATACACATCTAGATGTGTATAAGAGACAGGAAGAAAAAAGTTAAAAAATAATAAAAATTAAATATATGTATATGAAACACAATAAATTATTATTCAAAACAAAATGCATCGATTTATGTGAAAATATAAAAAGTTTTACTATTAATCATTAAAAAATAGTAATTAAAAATAAAAAGAAGAAAAAATGTTGAGAATGTCAAAAATATACAAAATACAATAAACTATTATTTAATTTACGTTTAAATTTTAATATTTTGTAGTTTTTATCTTCTTTTTTTTTGAAAAATACTATTAAAACTACTAAAACACAAACACAATCTTTCCACATCTATTAATTTATTTTTAGATTTAAGCATTATATTTTTAAATGTTTTAAGTTTTAAATTTAAATTTTTTGCATTTTTAATTTACTAAAGCTTTTTTTTTGAGGTTGTATTGCAAAAAAAGACTAATTCTTTGGTTATAATGACATTTTTGGACTTTTGCCTCTTCAACTTAACCTCAATTTCCATTTGCACGTGACTCGCGAACCCATCGATATTATGCTTTAAAAATAGCTACATAGTTAAATGTTTTGTACTCACCAATAAAATCGTAGGCTTCCTGAAAATATTGTTTGATATTTTGATGTGGCGTATCACTGGCAGGTATCTGTTTATATTTAAGTCCCGGCGCTGGACCTGAACTGGGTGCTTGGCAGGTAACATTCAAAACACAATTGGCGCCCACACTACTCGGATCGCTGGCATCTTTGCCGTTGCCCAATAGTAAATGGGGGAAAACTGGTGACGCGGGATGAGTTTCAATATCTAAGACAAGAAAAGAGAGAATGTGAAAATTAGAGAAAATTTTAATGGAAAATTAGAAAAAGATATGTTTTTATAAAAAAAATTGAATTGAAAAATTAAATGAAAATTATCAA